TATAAATTTTTTATTTAATTGAAATTATAAATTATCATCATGAGTGTTGTCACAAACACCATTAATGTTAAAGTGTATAAAAAGTGATTATTAGATTGCATATTTAAGGGAAAATTGTACTTGAAATCCTAAACCTTAGAAGGTTGTGACGATTGAATCTCGTACTTTTGATTTCTAGCATCTAGGGTTCCAACCCTTCCAAACTTCTGCATTCCGGATCATTTTGTGACGGAAACAGTCAGTTTGTCCTTTAAAAGGTCGACTTTGAATAAAATGACCATTTTACACTTACTTCGATTTAGAACAAATAAACTAAAATGAAAAAAGAAAAAGAAAAACAAAGGGTTAAATTACACCTAGGGTCCCAATCTTTTGAAGGTTGTGAAGATGGATCCTCAACCTTTGGCTTCTGGCACCCGGAATCCCAAATATTTCAAATGTCCAAGGCATGGATCCTAGGTGTAAAATGACCATTTTACTTGGTAGTTTTGTTTCAATTATCAGATGAATCAACCTAAAGTCGATTTTTTTTTTTTTACATTAAAAAGTGATTTGATTCTATTTATTTATTTAATTTTTTTCCACTGATTCAACAATTAACTTTTTTTTTTTTTTATAACCGTNGCTGTTTTAAGATAATTTTCAGTTTTCGAAAATAATTTTTTTTTTTGATAACCGTGGATGTCCGGTCAGTTTGCGCGCATCTCGACTAATTTCACGGGGCCTTGAAGTTTACGACCGGGTACTCACCTCAGTGGCCCTGAGGGGACTCAAACTGGTGACCGTTGGGAAGCGAACCCAAGGCCTGACCAATTGAGCAACCCCTCAAGGTTAATTCAACAATTAACTACTTACCTTTTGCGAGTCAAACTTAAATCTATTCATAAGAAATTGCTAATTCCTAAAGTTAGTAATTTTAGTAATAAATAAATTTAAAGTAGAGGCATAGTACTTTTTTTGAATTTTGTTGTGTCACTAAAATCTTTGGATTGACGTATATATTTAATAGAATATGATGAAGAAGCGTTAGAGCCAGAGTTAGTTAAATACACTGTAGATACTCACCTCAGTGGCTCTGAGGGGATTCGAACTGGTGACCATTGGGAAGTAAACCCAAGGCCTGACCAATTGAGCAACCCCTCAAGGTTAATTCAACAATTAACTATTTACCTTTTGCGAGTCAAACTTAAATCTATTCATAAGAAATTGCTAATTCCTAAAGTTAGTAATTTTAGTAATAAATAAATTTAAAGTAGAGGCATAGCACTTTTTTTGAATTTTGTTGTGTCACTAAAATCTTTGGCTTGACGTATATATTTAATAGAATATGATGAAGAAGCGTTAGAGACAGAGTTAGTTAAATACACTGTAGACCGACAAATATTATAATCGCAAGATTTAGAATTGATATTTAATTACTTATCAAGTTTCTTGATTTAGAACTTACTCTTGCTTGACTCTCTTCGATGAATTTTTGTAGGGGGAATATCTAAAACTCGATCTAGATTTAGCCCATTTTTGGCCCTCATTTATAAAATTTATTTTTCTTAAAGCTCAATTTCAATATATTTTAATCGAACATACAATTTTTATCAACTTTCGAACCACGCATTTCATCATTTTTTTTTTAATCGTAATCTACTAAAAAATTAAGTTTTATCCAAATCAAACATGGCTTCAAGACTTAAAAGTAGTTGGATTTCCACAAGAAATACAACTCTACCACCTACCATGACAAGAAGTAAATGTTGCATTCAATTTGCCCACTTCAAAAGCAGCCAGTGGGCTCTGTCACGTGTTTGGTTTAAGCCAATTAACTATTTTACCGACTTTAGTTAGGGTCTACATGACACGACTTTTTTAAAGTTAAAAGTTGCTCTTGAAATTAACAGCATCTCTGACATTGATTTTAAGCAGAATTTCAGCCGTTAAACTACCAAAAAAAGCAATAATCTGACCGTTTCAGCCGTCATTTTTGACCATTTCAATCACCGGTGGGACCCAGCTTCCTTGCAAACGGTCAAATAATCAATTATGAAAATCAATGCCAGACATGCTCTAAGAAAATTAATTTATAACTTATTCGGATAATTTTCTAGAATGTTTATTTGATTAGAAGAGTTTTCGGAAGAAGTTGATGTAAAATATTTTTTTTAAAAGGCACTTATACAAGAAATAGAAGTAATAACAAAAGTCCTGCCAAATTGAATTATCAAATTTCGTGTATTTTGATTTTGATGATAAACGGTGGAGGCTAGTCGCGGGACCATCCTAATACTAAATTAATAAATGTAAGAATATCTTAAGAAATTTTAAAATAGCATGCTTTGCATATATTAGAATATTTGTTGGCTATATGGACCTAATTTGATTAATTAATTAATTATTTATTTATTTAACCATATCTGTATGTTAATCAATCAAATTCAAAAATAGTTTGGTTTTCGGAGTGGCATATTCCAAGTATTATCATGAGATGCCACTTTGACATTGTTCCACCTACTCCAAATTATTAAAATTAAAAAATTAAAAAAAATTAAACATCCATTGTAAAGAATTTTAAAATGACTAAACTTATAAATATTTAGTATTTGTGAATCTATTAAAATGCGTGATTAAAAATGAATATTGACCATTTATATATTTGGTAAACGAGGCTCAGATTTCAATAGAAAAACGATGAAACTGTAGCATTTTTTTCGTTGCCTCATAACCCCATTCTACCTTCAAATTTTCAAGATTTGTTATTTGCCTATAGAAATTCAACACTCTCGTATGAATGTTAGTATTATTGGTCACTAAAACAGAAAGAAGATGATGAGAACCATGTAGCAATAGTAGCTACGCAACTCAGCAACGATATTGAGATGTCACTTTGACATTGTTCCAACTACTCCAAATTATTAAAAAATAAATAAAAATAAAGCATCTGTTGGAAAGAATTTAAAAATAACTATATTTAAAAATAATTAGTATTTGTGGAAATGTGTGATTAAAAATGAATATTGATAGTTAATATATTTGGAAAACGAGGCTCCGATTTCTATAGAAAAAAAGATGAAATTGTAGAAATTCAGTATTTTCTTCGTCCCCCCGTGCCTTTTCACTATGTTGTGATTTTGAGGGAAAGAAATGAGCTTGATCTGTTCAATGGAGGTTCAAATTTTATAATTAGCTAACAATTAATGCTATTCATTACTATCGAAGTCATTGGTGATCCAGGTGATAGTGTCCAATAGATAAATTGAGGTGTTACTACCACCCGGGTACAAGGCTCTGTCCTTGGTGGGTTGTACTTGGGCAGGACTTTGAATTGACTCGGGCTAGGATGGTCAGCACGGTTTCGCAATCGTAATCGACATCAACATATGGTCAACCTCGGCCCAAGGTGTAATGATGTGCATGAATTCTCCCAATGCACATCCAAAAAGAGATACCCGTGAAGCAATAACATTGGAGTCCTGAAATTCTTGATTGTCACCAATTTCTTAAAACTCATTCTTAATCACCAATTTCATGAAATTCGCAATTTTGATCAATATTTTTCACCACACATTTTATTAACTTTTATCAAAGTTTACTAAAAATTTGATTTTTATCCAAACCAAATAGTAGCGTAGCAAAGCTAGGTATAGTTTTGTTACCACGTTGCCAAACAAAGTGACAGTGGTCGTAGCCTTTAAAGTTGGGTATAAATTCGATTGTCGTACGTGGTCATTTTCAACTTAAATAAAACAATACAAACAAATATTCATACAACCAGTGAAATGTGTTATTTCGCAGGTTCATTCGAGGGATGGGGTTTTGGCCTTTGGGTAACATGAGAAACCCATATAATATTAAAAAAATAAGTAAAAACAAAGAAAGTAAAAATAGAAGAAAGGGAAGTTTAATGGTGTTAAGAGGACATAAGAATTAAAGAGATAATTAAGTGGTTATTTATGTCATTTTATTTATATTCAATGTAGTAAATAAGAAAAATATTTAAAAATGTGATGTAACAAAAGATTTTCTTGGTGGTAATATAATCACCCGTTCTATAATTTCAGTTAACTTAGTAAATGTGATGTAACAAAAGATTTTCGTGGTGGTAATATAATCACCCGTTCTATAATTTTGGTTAACTTAGAGGGGCAGATAAGTCGATTTTTCATAAAATCGGCCATGAATGCAAAACTAACAAAAGTTGGGACATTTTTCAAAAAAGGAACGTGAAAATGTACAATTTATTCTATTTTCCCTTTATTAATTAGTTAATGAGAGTTTTCAAAAAAACTGGAAAATCAATTACCACAAAATACAAAATAAAACATTTTCTTTCAAAACCAAGAAAAGAGGCGCATGAGGGGTGGGGATGGAAACGAATTCCAGGGAAAATTTTTGCTATCAAACACCACGAAAGGTGAAAAATAGAAAACTTTTTCCAACTTTCTAGGAAAATAGAGGGAATCAAATGGGGGCCTTAGTACTTAACGGCCATGTTATTATCTGACGTTAGACAATGTGATGAAATTTAACCAAGTGCACTAAGTTGAGACAAAATGAATTGTAATGTCTCAAGTGACATGAAATTAAAATAGAATGATTTGAGCGACTCAAATTAAAGTACGTTCATTTTGAGTCGTAGTAAAGTATTCGCGAAAACTTGCTCGAAAAAAAATAAAAATTCAGATGTTATTTGTATTTCTCTAAAACTCTCGCAACACGACACGATTGTTGCAAGGCTGTCGTCGGCTCGTGCAGTAAATAAAAAGGGACGAAAAAAAGTTATTACAATATTACTTAAAAGTAACTTTTACATTTCAAGGTTAGTCAAACATGCTCGAAATGTCCTAACTAATTATAGCAACTGCAATTTACAAATGGATACTGCAAACACACACACACACACACACGAGCTAAAAACGAAGAAGAAGATACAGATGTAGAAAAATCAACTCTTTCCAAGTGAAAGCAGTTGCAAATATTCAAAGGGATTAATCGGAAACAAAACCTAAAAAATGGGCGAAAGAGATAAAGAATGGGAATTCCATCTCCGATCGTTATCGTCGAGTTCCAGAGATTCCAATTATGCCACAGACCCTGCTTCCGATCCCTCTCTCCTCAATTCAGTTAATTTCTCTCCCCATTTATATTCTTATTATTGTTTTAATTCTTTTTATTAAGGTCTAATTGATTTGAGGTTTCATTGATTTATTTAGGTGAAAAGGCTGCATCAACTGTGTAAAAGTGAAAATTCGGAGGATTTAGTAGCTAGGGTTTATCCTCACCTTAACAAGATTTTTCATCGTTCAGTTGCGTCGATTTCGCAGTCTCAGCCTCAGACCTCCAACGGCCTTCTTTTATTGGTAGTTTCCCTCTTATTTTATCGTTTCTGTTTACATATTTTTAATTTTGTTTCATTTGAATATGATTTTTGCCTCCTGTTACTAAATATCTTATCAAACTGGTAAAGTATCGCTTGTATACTTTTGCATGAAATTATATGATGAAAATGCCAGTACAAGTGACATGATGTGGTAATACTATTTTATGGCCTTGTCAAGGTCTGCTCGGGGATTTCAAACTAGTTGACAATCAAAGTTAACATTGGTATCTAGACTGAACCCTGGTAATTTATGCGTGTATGCGAGTTCAGATGATGTATGTACAACGGTACATGTATATAACATTTAAAGTTTTGTTGCACAAAGAGGTGTTTATGTTTCACAAAAGAGCATTATTTCAGTGTTGTGGCGGCTGAAAAAATTGGTCTAGTTTTCTGTGTTTGTCCTGAAGTTTCTCTGATCTTTATTATCTGAACGTTATCTTTATTTGTAATCTGAATGTTACAAACAATTCGAGATGTTGAAGGGTTTCTAAGACTTTAATGTTTGCCTCCCCAGTTTGTGATTATGTGTGCCTTGTTAGAAAGATTTCTTATACTGGGACTATTCTTTATTATTCAGGCTATTCTTCAATTTTTTCTTGATTTTGGGGATGCAATTCTACACGATGCTGACCCTAGTTTGAAGACATTTTTCCGTTCATGTTTGAGCCGGTAAGAACATAATAATATTCTTTTTGTAACGATAGATTTCGAATTGTATTGATATCAATTACCTTTTGAAAAGCATATACTTATGTTCTGAGAGTTATATGCTTTCTGGCTGGTTTTGCATCGAAACAATAATAGAATTATAATGAATTTCATTGGAGTTTTTGCGCTATCGGTTTTTAAATGTTCGCATCTTGTCTGCTTCTGTCTATTTGTAATCTTTTAATTAAACTGTGTTGCCAAGTGCTGTTTGATTGAGTTTCTTTCCTTTTCTGGCTGCCTCGTAACTGATCATATTGTAATTCAACGTTTGCTGCATTTGCCGTGTAGCATAATTTATATACTGTTGTTTTGTCATGCCCAGTAAAATGCATCCGTATGTCAGTATACACAATAAATATAATGTTATTGCAGTGAGTTTGCAGATCCTATTGTTGCTGAGGCAACTCTTGAATTTCTAAATGCTAACATAAGGAAGCTCCTGAGTTCTTTCCCCACATTACTTCCTCAGGTATTTAGGTTGAGATAAATTCTTATAGCTCCATGTAGGATAACACAATGTAGACGATGTCAATTGTAATAAGATGATCATATTACTAATATACAGTGATACTTTAGTTAGTTTCCAATATACATATCTTCTACAGTCTGCTAATCGTTGTCTATGAATTCATGGAAACCTGTTGTACCATCATCATTCATTCCATTATCTCCTCTTGTTTTACACAGTTTATTTATTCTCAAGTTCTCTTCTAGAAGCCACTTTAGATGGTAATTTTTTCTCCCAACATTCCTTTCTAGCCTATTGCCTTGAACTGCTATTTTGAGCATGGCATTTTTCCCAATCTACTCTGAAGTGGCCTTAGTTCACTCCTAATGAAAGGTTTGGGTGCTAGATTACCGAACCTGACATCTGTAGCCATTTTTGCTTTTTATATGGACAGTCAAAGTTGATTTTCATGTGTCCACTCAGACTTTTGAAGCTATGACTTTTCTGTAAAATCAACGAAAGGTTTAGCAACTATGTTTCCCACAATTATGGTTAATATTGTCGAAGTCCTTGATTATTTCTCAAGATTTATATCTTTAATAAACTAATAGATAACTTTAGAGTGAAGGATTAATGTCTTTCTTTTCATCTTTCCATTTGAAAAGTGCAGTCGTATAATCCGTAAAATGTATTTAGTGTAATTCCTCTAATCTCAATCTTAATGTGCAGTTTTTCCCATTATTGCTGAAGCTTATTGCATGGAATGGAGAGAAGTAAGTCTTTCTCCTTCCTAGCTTCTTTGTCCGTTTTGTCCAATTTCAACAGGACAAGTAATATTATGCAGATTACCTGTCAAACAGATACATGCCTTTTTTCTTTTCTCCCAGTAGAAGGTTATTCATCTTCTCACTGAAATAAAGCAATTTCTATATTGGTTCAAACTACTCTTATGTTTAAAATTAAAACTCGTTTGAGCTGGATAAAATTTTTTGGCATTATTTTATTCATGACATGTGTGTTTAATGTGGAAACTGGAAAGGTGGTTACGGAAAGATTTAAAACAGAAGAGAATCAAGAGATCAAATTCTAAGGTCTCAACAACAAGCACACAAACTAGTATTTAATCTTTGTGTTAGCAATACACGGTTATATCATACCAGCTTACAGCCATTGAAGAATACCTAATTATTTTGTTCTTTTCTGGAATCGTTGAAAAATATGGCACATGACTTCAAATATGGATTGCTTTTTTCTCTATTCTGCAGTTGTTGTCCCAATTGACTTTCAGGATTCATGAGCATTCCAAGCATATTCATGTTATGCACTTTCGATAAATGAATGTGTCATCCTGGATGCATATAATTTTTCATATATGCTCTTACAATGTAATTACCTATTTACTCCTCTCCACGACCTAATAAATGAAAAACACACAAGCAGATATATAGTTAGGGCAACATTTGCTTGCTCCAACATGCACATTTATTTATAGAAAGCATAGGTTGTTGATATATGCTAAAAGCTCTTCCCTGAGCACATTTACACTTGCCTGAACAATTGTGATTATCTATGTCTATATATGCACGTATTTTGATAACTATATATGTTTATGTGGAGCTTATAAGTGTGCCAACATGCATTCCTCTATGGGCAGTGGTTATATAGTGAACCAATCTTCATGAACTGGTTGTAGCTTTTCACTTTCTATTGTACACGTGCTCAGTTTTCTTCATTAATAATATCCTTAAAATCCTTCTGTTCGTGTCTTCCTTTCCCCCCGATTGGGAGAATCATATTTTTCCATCAAAAGAATAGCAGGGAAACTTTGATTTTGGTGCATGCAGTTAGTTTTAGAATCCTTTTTCTGATGTATAAACAACCATATCGGGTAAAACTCCATGAAGGAGTTTAATTTGTTGGGCTTTCTATGATTCAATGACTGAAGTAGCCGACTTCCTGAATCATTTGCTCTGTCATGCAGGTTTGAGAAATTGTTTCTGAGAGTGCTCCCGGGATTGATTTCTCCTGGATCCTTCATTCCATCGTTTCCTTCACTCGTTGACTTACCAAGTAAGTTTGTTTATATTTCTCTGTATCAACTATCGACTACTTTTTGGCTTATTTGGGGAGAGTGGCAAATGGATGGAGTGAGGAGAGGAGCTTGGCATTGGTTGGTGGAGGGGCATTCCTAGTTTTTTGTACAAGTCACACAAACAATTTCTGTGGTAAGCTTTGAGAAGTGGGCCTACCTCATTCTCCCCTCCTACTGTACTATAAACATGTAAAATCTTAGTGTTTTCCTTCCTGCTAGAATAATTCAAATGTTTAACAATAGCAGCGTGAAGGAAGCCATCATCAATGTTATTACGCTGAATCCAGCTTTTCACTAATTTCTTGCATGTACTTTTTTATTATGACAACCTTCTTTGTGCCTTGGTTAGCATTGGTTGTGGCATTGGAAAAGGTGGAAAGAACTGCAGGGTCACTGGTTGGAGGCAGCATAGCTTCAATTCAGCAGAGTGCAGCTCCTCAGGTTTTTACGGTCTTCAGTAAACTACGCAACAAGAAATTTCTCTCGTGATAAATTATGAACACTACTCTTTGGACACAGATGCTGTTTGATCTCATGGATGAAGCATATACCGGTTCAACTATAGGAGATGGAGGTGCGGACTCTGAATCTGAGGATAGCAGTACGATGGCTGTAGCTGATTCTCTCTTCCTTGAGCTTCTCAAGGACGAGAATGATGGCCTCACAGTATGAACTTTCTGTCTAATCACGAAATTGGTGTGATAGCATTGATAAAAAGAAAAGATTGATCTTTTCAGCATGGAAAATAACTTAATTCTGCATAATTTGGGAATGGAGCATTATCTTTTATCCTTTTTGTTCCTTTTGATTTAATTATCTTTATCTTTCAATTAGTTGTATTTCACGTTTCAACATTTGCACATGCACGTGTTGGGGTTGGCTATATTTCCATAGTTGCCTAGCAGTATATGCTTCCACTTTCTTTCTTCAATTTGATTTCCCAACGTCATTTGTGATTGTGACTGAAACTGTGGCTTGGTTTCACTGGGCATCCTTGTTTCTCCAATATCTTGTTTTTTCTATGTTTCAATTGGTTATGATCTAATGAAGTATGAACAGAACAAGAGTTCTCAAAAACTTACAGATAAATTCACCAAATGGTCTTGAATACTACCAATTTAAATATTTTTAATTAGGAGATGGTTCCTGATTTATTGATGATGACTGCCATGTTCAGTTATTTGATGCATTGGAAGGAATAATTTTCACTGTTGGGCTTCTTTTAAATTGAACAAGGGTGGTGGAGGTGGTACGGAAGATTGATCCACTGTGAAAAACTGATTTTTATTGTTAACTCCCCAATGTTTAATTTAGGTTATTCCGTGAATTCCAATAATAAGCAACAGTGAGATATATGAATAGAACTTATGTCATACAGAGTCAATTAATGATACAAATACAATCCTTTTCAAGAAATAAAATAATTTATTATGTCTTTGATGTTTCAGGAACGTCATTGGACCTCTCCTGCAATGGCCGCAGCTCTGCAGGCTGTGGTTAGTGCTCCTCAGTCTGATAGATTGAAAGAAGCACTCAGAATGACACCTAGGGTTCTTGATGCCTATTTTGCTTTAGCAGTCCGTGATTTCAATTCTTGTATGTCCGTACCATTTTGCAGTACCTTTATCTAACAAAGGCCATTACCGTAACTGCATAATTTGGAATGGTTAATCTTCTGGATATTGTGCTGATTGTAACATATCCCATTGCAGCTCTCACATGCGCTTTGATTCCCTTAGTTATGAAAAGATATACTACATTATTTCCAGACAAGATATTCTCGTATGAGGTAAGAAATATTCATAAATGTATGTTCACTTTATTGCATTCGAAGGTCCTTCTTATTCCTGTTTTATTATGACATTCAGACGTAGGTAGGAAACATAGTGGTATCCACAACGGAAACCTTCCTCTAGAACACAGAAATTATTTATATGATCCATAGCTTGCTCATCACTGTTCTTGACCTGATCAGCTGATCCTGTAAATGTCCTTTATTTATGTGGTTTTCATATATTATTATGTATATATTACATAGAGCAGTTGTAGAAGTTCCAATTTTTTTTGCAATTCATTTCTCATGGTGCATTGTACAACTGCAGTGTTTACCTCTCTCTCTCTCTCTCTCTCTCTCTCCCCCCGCATATGCACACACCATGAGTTCAATTTCTTTTATGCGTCCCTGGGTTTGCTTTTGAATCTAAATATTCACGACGTGATGCAATTTATGCATGGATTGTAGGTTCAAAAGCGGCTCTTACAATTTATGCTTGCTGCCTTCCACCGGTCTCCTGATATTATTGCCGTTCTCAAGGTATTCTCTGATAATTTTTCTTTTTATCTAAGCATAATTTCAAGACAAGCATACAGAGATCATTAATACAGCAATCATGAAATTTCCGCAATCACATTAGTTGATGGATGATTTAGGGTTCGTCATTAAGGGCAAATGTCTTGTCGTATTGTCTGTCTCTCTGAGAGATGACATAATTGCAACCCAGAATGTGAATAAAGTTAGAGCAAGGCAGGGAATTCTCGTAGAACTTGTACGGCTCTACATACTAACCAACTTATACATCAAACTAAACTAAGGACTTTGCAAAAAGATAGCTTCCATGTCTGTTCCAATGCAGGAAAAACAAAGAAGTGTTGTTCGGAGGACGTTAGACCCAATCTATTACTGGAAGTTCCGGTAGTTATACAATATATTTGATGATTCTTGCCAGGATGTATCTGAATTTCTTTGAGTGCCTTGTCGCCAATTTTCAACCTCACTGCCTCAGTCAGGATTAAGTTAGCTCACACATTACAACAATGTCTGCTTCCTTTAACGAATATCTGCTGCTTTTATGGCATGCCAAGAGGCAAACTTATGTTCTCATCTTGGAATGATTGACGATTATATATGATAATATTACTCCCTCTTTCCCCTGATTGTATCTATATGAAAATGCATTGCAGAAGCCAATAGTGGACAGACTTGGAGAGGCTTATGAGAATCCTGCGAAGGTTAGTCGAGACAGAGCACACATCTTTTATTTGCTGGGAAATTAATTCTCTGACCCATGAAACAATGTTTTGTTCAGCATTCTTTTATGTGTATTTTCCAGACAGAGTTAGCATTGCAGTTATGTTGGGCGATTGGGGAGTATGGCGGCGGCGGCGAATCTCACAAAGATGCAGCTCGTGAACTTTTTGAGAGTTTGGAATTACTCCTATATGAAAACCTTTCTTCGAGGTACATTAGGATTTTCATAATTCATTTGACATGGTAGGCTTGACATTTTGGGTTGCCACTTTGATGCTGATTCATATGTTCTCTTCTGTTTTCGGAAGTCGTTTGGGTCTACGGGAATCAGCCCCTGGCTCTGGTTCAACAGTTCGAAAATCATCCCAGTCTAGGCTTCTATGTTTCGTTGTGACTGCAATTGCTAAGCTCGCCACTTATCATCGTGAGTTACTACCAAGAACCCGTGTATCCTTGGCAAAGGTCAGAATTGTCACATTTCACTACATTATTCTTTTTCATTTAGTGCACTTTTGGTACACAATACTTGGACTGGATAGTACAAAAAAGAAGGCTAAACACGAGCGCATAGTACTGTCTTGTCATCTCGAGTTCTGCTTTCCAATGTGTTTGGTGCTTAAAAAAACACCCTAAACGCTGGCGCCCATTTCATGCAACTTAGAAGTAAGACTATTGGTATAATTATTGTAGGTGGCTCGTTCTCGAATTTCAGATGTGAGGGTCGGGAAACGTGCACGCGATTATTTAGGTTTAATGAATGAACCTGCTATATGTTGGTCCGTCTTGGGCCCTTCGGTTTCAAATAAAAGCACGCAGAATCCTGGCACTGTGAATTGGAATGAAGCCAGCTCAAAAATGATTGCTCACGTTCCATTCTATATCTTAGGTGCACAAGAAGGTAAACCTTATCTACAATTTTTTCTTTAATGGATAATTTATCAACTGTTTCAGCCATACACAGCTTGTTTATGAAATTTCTAAAAATATTTTCCTTGCGGAAGGTCATCTTTTTTGTTATATTTTGATTATAAATCGGAACAATTATTATTGATTTTGTTATAGAATATTTTCTTTTAACAATCAATTCTTATAATCTTCCTTGTTTCAGGTCCTCCCTTCCACGATTTTTCATTTTCTGATGTTATACCGAGAAGATAAATAATGTTCAAGATGGTGTGTAATATACAATAACTTCGTGTATGGCATATTTTACTTGGATTTTTTGAGCAAGAGATGGAAAATTAGATCCTTTGCACTGTTATTATATTTAGTTTAGATGGGATTGGATTCTCATTGAATTTTAGATTTGTCTCATGTTTTTTTACACAATTATTATGTAACTAATGTGCAGAAGTAATTTATTTTGTGTTGTTTGGCGCATAACTTTTATGGGTATTAGTCTTTATTTTTAGCAATTTTTCTTGTTTGGATCATTACACTTCGGACATTTCATATCATCTAATTATTTACCTATTTGAAAATGTATGCATAAACAAGTCTCAAGAATAACATGGCTTCAATTGTAGCGGGCATGATACTTGGGTAGATATTAAAGAAAATAAATGAAGTAGAAATCTTATCCATTGCGGTGTCTAGTTCAATCCAATACGGTTACCAGGCATCTGGAATGTCAGGATATGCTTGTACCAAAAGTTTGCAAGCAGACATACACGACCATTATGTTTTAAGGTACTTTTCATCCATACATTTCGTACGATCCGCCACTTACGATCACTTCCCAAACATGTAATAAATAGAACAGAAAACACTTAATGCTCCCAATTATCTCTATCATTATGCTCTCTAAACTCGAGAAAACAGCAGTACCATGAAACAGCGACAAATTCGAAACCTGCACCTGATTTTGATTCTCCAATGTTATCCACCATTTCAACATCCAACAAGGCCCCTTTGTGCACTTGTTAGGGACAAGTAGAACATGAAGTGAAATTAGGAAGCCAATGGCCTATTTGACATTGAGGTCATCAAATTCACAGTACAACGATATACAGCGAAAAGAGGGAGATAGCTCCGAAAGTATGATTGACTGCTGAATTATTCATCTAAGCCTTGCAAGTTGAAAATCTGTCAGTTGTTTCCATATTTTGTGAGTTTAAAAGGGATCACCGTTCTACTTTTTCTCAGGAAGTTTCTCTAACAATTCCGGTATGACCTCAAAAAGATCACCGACAATTCCATAATCAGCAACCTGGAAATGAACCAAATGTTTTAGCACACAAGTCTTTTTTCGCAGATAAACATCAAGCCATCGAAAATACAAGCACAATAATCAGATAAAAGTTAGGAATCAGCTTATTTGATAGACTGATGTCAAAAAAAAAAAAAAGAATTACTCATGTGATAGACTTCATCAAATATATGAAATTTTTGACATATCTTTGGAAGGATCATAATTTTCAAAGATTCTATAGAAATTTAAATACGAAGAAAAGGATCTACTAAATTCATCAAGTTGTTCAAAAGGATCAAAACGTTTATTAAATTCCTTGTTGGCTCTCCTAACTAACTTGTTTGGCTTAACACTTCCATATACATCAATCGCTTGAGAAGATGTATTCTTCTTATTTTTATTTTTTCTGTTTTAAGATAAGGAACTCACAAGTTGAGAACCATTACGTTGTCCAAATTGGAATACTCGAAAGTCAATACAAGGTTTCAGCAATGAGAATATAGTATTTTCAGAACATTTTTTCTTATATATTTCCAATAATGAGAATAAATGATTGCACAAAATATATGAATCTAATTGCATTAGTAAGAAAATGTTATTCCCAAGATTGCTCATATTCTTGTTGCATTTTGGAGGGAGGGAGGGAGAGAGAGAGATATGATTTGTGTTGGACCTGAAAAATAGGTGCATCTGCATCTTTATTTATGGCAACGATGACCTTAGAGTCTGTAATACCTGCCAAGTGTTGAATGGCTCCAGAAACACCAAAAGCCATATACAATTCAGGGCCCACAATTTTCCCGGTCTGGCCAACCTGGTACAAAAACAAATGCTGCATCAATGGAAGAAGTAATAGACTATTCGAAGAGGATACACATCGGTATAATCTAACCGACCAACGATACTTAATATTGTTTGAACACGGCTCTTAAATTAAGCTGGAATAGGAACATGGCAAAGTAAAAACCACATTATGCATCAAGTTACAGATACAAAAAAATCCTTAAACAACCATTTGCAAAGTTAAAATATATTATTCCAACCACAAAGGAGGTTGAAATGTAAGTTTTGGGTTAAAATCAATGAATGCTCACTAAACTTTCAGCACATTATTACTTACTCACTGAGCTAAAAAAAGTATCTCATTACTCACTCATATATTAAAAATTTCTCATCCACTATTCATTAAAATCTGTTACATCCGCTAACAGAAAATTCTATATGGCTTACGAAATCCTACTTAGCACTCCTACGGCGTTATGCTTCCACCTCAGGCAGCACCTTGATTTCTTCAGCACTTAGATATCGTCAATACACACGCTTCCGCCTGTTTTGGCCCTTTTGGAGTATTGCATTTTTGCTGAGGTGGAAGCATTTAAGGCCATCTGAGTATCAAGGGGGACTTTTGTTAGCCACGTAGACTTTTCCGTCAAGGGATGTAACGGGTTAGGATGGGAAATTTTTTAATAGATGGGTGAGTAATGAGAGAGGTTTTTTAGTTCAAAGAGTAAGTAGTAATCCTCTGAAAGTTTAGTGAGCATTCATTGATTTAACTCTTTTAAGTTTTACAAGTATTATAGCATCCAAACGGAACAGAAAATATGCAGCAGTCAATTCTCATGCGAGGATATGAGAGAGAGAACCACATAAGAGGCTTAGATGATATCTATGTAATTATTTTACATTGCCCTTCAACTATTGAAATCTTAGCATCCACAAACAATTTCACTTCTTACCTGAAGTTCGTTAGGAACAAATCCCGCGTCAACGGCAGCACGAGTGGCACCAACTATAGAGAAAGGACATTAAAGTTACTTTGTATAATATGACGAATTCAAAAACTGATCTATGTCGACAATTTCATGACAAGAATTTAGAATTTTTTTTAAAAATGTTTTTTAACTCAAGTTCACCAGAAAAATTGATGCAGATAAATATTCATATGGAAAGATGGAGCTGGCCTTGTGGCTGGAGGGGAGGCGACAGAGAACAAAAGGACTTTAATTTCTTAAGAACCAAACCACCAGAAAAGCTGTATCGGGAAAAACCTGCTGCACCAAGTTTCTCTGCAAGCTTCTCTATCATTTTGAAATTTTCAGCACTTTTTAGACCTCGTCCTCCAGTGACCACAATACGTGCATTTCCCAGATCTGGGCGTTCTGTATCTTGAGAGGAAAGCTTCACAAATTTTGATTTACCAACCGCATCATCTATGAACAGAAAAAAAAATTGTTTGTCATGGTTATTGAAATGATGAATATTTTTTCATTGGTAACTAAACTTGCCAAACCATAGTTTATAATTAGGGAAAATATTCAGTAAATATTAGACCTACAGCACTAAAATCAATGATTAGTATAAAGGTGACCGACCACTTTATTCCTCCAAATACATGTGCATGTTACAGAGACAACAATGTTTTTGTGCAGAAGATATATAACAAACCTTCACTGAAGGTTGAGAGATCAACCTGTTCAATCGCTGCAGCACTAGATTTTGAATGAGCTGACATGGATGCTACAGGAAAAGATGTAGACCTAATGGTCAACATACAAGGGTCTGAGCCAGTGTACCGAATGGTACTAAGAGCATTACCAGCATATATTGGCCTGCCATACATAAGATTACCCAATTAATGTCTATCATTGGAACTGCTTGCAATGAGCAAAAGACACCTTCTCTGTTTCAACCTGCAAAACAAGATGCTGTTTTGTGGTATGGTATCTGCCTAGTTCATCGTTAGATCCATAATAAATCAATAATTAGCTCCAAAATGATGAAGAGTAACTTCCTCTACACTGTTCATGCAATTAAAACGTGACATAATTGTGACATGTGCTTAACACTGGACATGTTGTAGTCAATCAGAAATTACCCTTTATAACATTTCATATGATTGAAAATTAAAGAATAATGATAGAAAAAGAGAGAGGTTTCCCCATATTCTGTCAGACTCTGAAAGAGGCAGAGCAGCTATATCTAAGCATGGCTTTTAGACACCAGTGACATTTGAGGTTCCACCATTTACAGGCATTGCTAACAAATTAACTAGTATATTGTTTCCTGATCAACAATTCGAATCTCAAGTCTATTCACATTTATCACAAATTAATATTCAAATTGCGGCTTATTCATATCAAAATAAACTCCAATTGGTTTGTGTATGCATTTTGCTATTTGTGTCTAGCAGTGGTAAAGATATGACTTCCTTTGCACTTTCAAGAGCCAAGATAAATGGAAACTAGAATAACTTGTCTGGATTGTTGCCAGTAGGGATAGAACTTAGAAGTCAGTGGTGTTCTATTAAAGTGATACCCAATTTTGAGTTCTTCAACCTGGTTAGGAGCTAAGTTATCCTCTATATATTCAGCCCAAGCTAATGATTCGCAGTTGGACTAATCAAACTTGATAGCTTCTATTTTCTTTTGTAATCATGCTTTAGAGTGTCAAATTATCACAATATAAACCATTTGGTATCAAAATCAAAGACGTTCCAGGTCATAAGTACCCATTCGCCAATGGGACATAACGATTGCTTTGCAAGTACCTGACAAAAAGATGAGACCCACTAACTTCAATGACATCAGTTATTGGAGAAACATCCAGAAGAGCAGCTGCACGAGGTAGTATATTTTTCCCAAACGAATCTGATGCTGTAACTATGTGTGAGAAGTTCCCTTTCTTGTGCACCACATGTAATAGTTTGGCCCATGGTTCTGCTAGAGGATGTGTAAACTTATCTGAGTCGGCAAGAAGCACCTGTGAGAGAAACATCGTGAAAAATTAGAAATTCACAAGAGCAGGAGGAACTTAAAACATTGCTCCTCCATGAATAAGATATTCCAAAGATAATATAAACCCCTCTTTCAGCATCCAACTTCACTCCATCATGAACAAGATGTGATAAAGTAGATGGAAGGAACTGTAAATGATTGCACGAGGCAACTCATGAAACACTCTAATCCAAAGTTGGACTGAAAGTACCTGAGAAACAGATGGATAACATGAAGCAGCTTGAGCAGCTTCTCTTAAGGAAGGACCTGATCCCGCAAGCAGTATAGATACAGAATTGCCCTCACCCAAAGACTTTGTTGCCTCTACTGCACTCAGTTATGAAGCCTTAATAGAACCTCCTTCATGTTCAGCTAAAACTAATGTGCTGATCTACATAAACAGTGAAAACTTATCATGAAAAACACGACACATACACTGGAAAATGGAAATTTTAAAATATTATTTCATACCAAAAGCACATCCTAAAGAAGTTATGAAAGTGGCAATCTCTTAGTGAAAACATGCAAGACTCAGAGGAACTAAAACATCAAGGAGCTTAAAAATCAGATTTTGGATTACTTCAATGATAGCCTCAATTTCTAATACCAGCAGACTATTTATAAATTAAAATTCAGGGGTCAGACTTTTTTAATCAACTACACTTTTTATACATCATGGCATCAAACGGTATTATTATGAAAGCCAGGGGATGATCACAAGAAAGAAGTTTCCTTTTTGCTTAATAATCGCAACAAATTGTAAATAACCAGATTTCTATGATACTATTAATACTAAAATTCTATCACTAACATTTCTAAATAATTTATCTATTTATTTAATTATTTTTCTAGCACTCTACAGTCTACCATTTGTTTCTTTAGCTAGATAGTAATATTCCTTTTATTTAAAAGAAAACGGTCAAAAGAGATTAATTTTTTCGAAAAGTGTTCAAATTGGTTTTACAACTTAAGAAATTAGATTCGAACACATTGTAATGTTTATCAATTTATGAGTTAGGCTCGAGCTATGCTGCACAGCGTAAGTAACAATAAAATATAAGAGAAGTACCAAACAACTCGAGCTTGACTCATATTCAGCTCCACTGAACTAATTCAAAATTAGCTAGTGAGAAATCAAACCAGAGGCAAACTCAGTTTTAATCCGGTTAAGTTACAAACTTATACCTATTTGCTTCATCTCAACACAATCACAATCCTTACAAAGTCTACATTATATATGCCATTAAATTGATTTGTTCATCTTCTTCTTCTTATGTATTGTTTGCTTAAGCATAATAAGTCACAAGCAATAAAAATTAAAAATTGACAACAGGATCCTAAAGAAGCAATTCCAAACACAATCACCCGATTGAATCAAAATAACAAATCCCAATCAAATAATATTAAAAAATAAAGGGATCCCAAAAAAAGAAAAAACTGACAGACTGATAATCAGATTCTTGATTTTTGGTCAAAACCCGTGAAATAATTTTTTTTCCACTTCTCCTGGGTTTCATTTTGATGTAGAACTTGTTAGAATGAAACAGTAACGGTGTTGACGAATAAAGGGTACTCACAAATCGGTAGCGGGAGGCTATAGCAGTAGCGAGTGAGCGGTTTCCAAAAGCTGCGAGCTTCGCACGAATTGCCATTATTGTTTCAATTGGGACGAGAGAACTAAAAATTAGTTAAATTACTCTGTAGTACCTTTGGCCTGTCTTCTTTATAAATACCTTTTTTTTCCCAAATAAACTCTTTTTTCTATAAAAAATAATTAAATTTGCATTAATTAAATAAAATAAATGAGATGCCTCATATTTGCTTGAACACAAAGAGAACAAAAGTCAAAACATATAAATTAGCAAAAATATGGAAAAAAAAAAAAAAAGAGGTCANACGATGATTCAAAAAAATAAAGAAAAAAAGGCAAAAAAATAGATTCGTGTTCGATTCAAACTAAAAAGGTAATTGAATTCGAGTCAACATTAAGAGAATTAAAAACCAGACATTTTGATTATAGAACCACAACTACACCACCATTGCAGCATATCGTGCCAATTATTTGCATCAACTATGCCATTGGTACACATTACCCAAGCTACCATTTGTGGTTATATGTTTTAATAGAATAATATAATTATAAAAAGAATAATGGTAGTTAAGTATTAAATTAATCGATATTCAACAGAAGTAGACTTTTTTCCAACAATGATGATCACCGACCATAAGGAGGTTTTCTTTGCTACTGAAGAAAAATATTACATATGTTCGTTTGTCATTACATTTGTTTTCACCTAAAATAAAACTTTGATTATTGCTCATCTTACTTCTGATCCCTCATAAACCGCAATCTTCATTCTTCCTCATCATCGCTTCTCACCTTCATCTGGTGTTTGGATCCTATGGTCGAATTCCATCATGGGCAAGAAATATACTATTAAGTATTGAATTCGTGTTTTGTTCAATTAAAAAAAAAAGATTAAAATCTAAACCAGTAATTAATTTTAATCATACATTTCATAGAAGAAATCACAATTTTCAACGACACACGGACACACTCCATCATTTTTTATCAAAATATACTAAAAATCTGATTCCGTCTGCATTATGTTTGTCCTCTTCTAAAACAAAGCTTTCATCATTGCACTTGCACCTCTTTTTCCACACCATCACTTCTCATCTTGATCTGATTTTCGAATCCTACGGTTGAATCTCACTGCATGAAAAATGTATACTAGTTGAATATTTAATAGGAGTTGACTTGTTCTCAATAACGATATTTAACCGATCAAAACGGCAGCCAAAAAGCTTGGACTGAGACAACAATTGTGGCTAATATTTTCTTCTTGTAAAACATCATCGAGGAGAAAAGTGTTGAAGCCCGCAATTTCCGATTCTTCCACTGCAACTATTTATACACTCTTCTCAGTACACTCTTAGACTACCCGTTTTGAAATATGAGCTCCAACGCCTCCGACCCGAAGACTTTACCCGAATTATGCATACCATTGAATCCGGAGAAGACCACGGTCGTCGTCCCCAACGAGTAAGTGAACACATAATTAAACGATTAATTATTCAGTCAATTTTCTCTGCGATAACTAAGCTATTGATGATTTAATTATATTTGCCTGCGTGCAATAATCGTGAGGAATCTGTGTCAATTTCATGAACTCGCGCTAATGATCAATGATGAATCTGTGTTATTTAAATTGTGTTTGTCTGATTCATGATCTGCTCGTTTATGATCGACTTAATCAAGCCACGAATAGGCTTGTGTAACACACTTATTTCTAATGTTTGGTGTATTGCTTTGTTAGTTGCTTTTGAATTGAAACTCCAATTGCTATCTCTTTTAGGTTTCCATAAGATTGTAATGTGTTTACTTTATTGACATTAGAGAGAGTTAAGCTAGATATTTGATGATTTANTTGAGTAATCATATCAATCTTAGTTTCCGGTATAACTTCTCCTAATAATATTTGTCTAAAGAAATTTTCTATTCGTTTTAAAATTTCTTTAAAATTCTTAACATCTAAACTTTCATTGCTATCCATAGCAATAGTAGATTTTTCTCCATATTTAATTTTTTTTTTTCATAAGTTCTTCTCCAGATATCCGAAGTAATTCCTCTAAAAATGTGAATTATAAAGTTATATACTTGAGTGATATTACACTTATGAAAAATAACAGCAAAATTAGTAGCTTTTGCCCATGAATCAATAATTTCACTTTTGTTATTGCTATCATCAACATCTAGCCATATTCCTGTTGTAGGAATTGGTTCAGTAAAAAGTTTAACTGGATTATTATCCCTAAGATTTATATGTTTAGTGGAAATAATTTTAGGTTCTTTCCTAAAATTGCAATCTTCTCTTTCCTTTCCACGTTCTTTTATCTATTCTAAATTCCAGTCATCAGATTCGACTTGAGTCCAATCTGTAGTCATATTAGTTCTACTTGTTTCTCCTACTAACGATTGATTTTCAACTTGTTGATTTAAAGGCGGAGTATTAATTTCAGTAGTTTCATCTTTAGGTGGAGGATCATTCATATATATATTTTCGGTTTGAACAGCTAATTGTTCTAAACTTTATTTATATGTTTCTAATTCTTCTCCACTAGTTTAAAAGAATTTTGTTTCTATTTTTTCTATAACATAAGATGGTAAAGGTAGTTCAATTGAAACATAAGATTCTTTTTTATGTTTCAAATTTTTAAATTTTAATTCAATTTGTTTGTATAAGATTTTTGGTCCTATCTTAGAGTGTGTTTGGTATGGATTTTGAGGGGGAATAATTGATTTTGAATAGTGATATGGTGGGAAATGTATGGTTGAAAAAGAAGAAAAAATTATTGATGTGATAAAAAATATTATTTTATTGAAGAATGTGTGGTTGAAAATGAGAATTGATTTACTGTAAAAAATGAAAATTGATACCAAACATGCCCTTAATATTATTATTAACAATTTCTAGATTTGATTCCATATTCTTGATATGAGTTAAGAAATCTTGATTTAAAATATCAGTTTTCTCTAAAGGCTGAGTTTACTTATCATACTGTTCCAAAAATTGATCTATTATACTATCTTCTTCTTCATATTCAGGAGATTCATTAACCAAAATTTGTAATACTTTATTTTTTATTTCAACTAATTGTTGAGAGTTATCAATTTGTTTTATCTCTTCACTTAGAGACTTAAATTCGGTACTTAAATTTGTCGCTAATTCTAGTAATTTAACTCTATTAGTTCTAGTTAATAAATTAATATTTTTTAATTCTTCTAAAATTATTTTATCTTTTCTATTCATTTTAGAAATTTGTCTTTAGTTTCGTTACTAGGCTCCGATATCAATTTTATGATGAAATTGCGGAAAATAGTTAAAACTTAGATGTAAGGGTATAAAAGACAATATATCTATAAAAAGATAAAATAACGTCTAAAGTAATGTAATGGAGAATGCACAAATAACTTATACTTTCATCATCGCACCTCTTTTTCCACTCTTCACATCTCATCTTGATCGGATTTTTGAATCCTACGGTTGAATCTCACTGCATGAAAAATATATACTATTTGAATATTAAATTAATATTTAATAGGAGTTGACTTGTTCTCAATAACGATGACTTACTTTGCCAATAACGATATTTAACCGATCAAAACGGCAGCCAAAAAGCTTGGACTGAGACAACAATGGTGGCTAATATTTTCTTCTTGTAAAACATCATCAAGGAGAAAAGTGTTGAAGCACACAATTTGCGATTCTTCCACTGCAACTATTTATACACTCTTCTCAGTACACTCTCAGACTACCCGTTTTGAAATATGAGCTCCAACGCCTCCGACCCGAAGACTTTACCCGAATTATGCATACCGTTGAATCCGGAGAAGACCACGGCCGTCGTCCCCAACGAGTAAGTGAACACATAATTAAACGATTAATTATTCAGTCAACTTTCTCTGCGATAACTAAGCTATTGATGATTTGATTATATTTGCCTGCGTGCAATAATCGTGAGGAATCTGGGTCAATTTCATGAACTCGCGCTAATGATCAATGATGAATCTGTGTTATTTAAATTGTGTTTGTCTGATTCATGATATGCTCGTTTATGATCGACTTAATCAAGCCACGAATAGGCTTGTGTAACACACTTATTTCTAGTGTTTGGTGTATTGCTTTGTTAGTTGCTTTTGAATTGAAACTCCAATTGCTATCTCTTTTAGGCTTGGTATTCTAACATTACACAAATGAAAATTGACATTAGAGAGAGTTAAGCTAGATATTTGATGATTTATAACTAAAATTTCACTTCTTTAAGATAAATTTGAAGATGAAGCAGCGCGATATTAATTGTTAACTCTTTTTAATTGCTTCAAATTTAGTGTAATTATCTAGCAATTTCTTGAATAAAAAGAGGGAAGGCCACTACTACTAGGCATTAGGAGTAATGAAATTGAAATGTAGCTTTTCTATACTATTAGTTTATTTTGTTCTTGCATTTGCTCTTTACTAAATTCCTTGTTTTTGTTTTTTATTTACGTGCTTCGCAGGAAAGTTTCTAGAGACTGGACTAAGGGATCAATAAGTGCTGTGTTGTCAATTATAGCAGCGTTGTCCATAATCTTTTTAGTTGGAAGGGTACGGAGCTGACTCGGAGTTCAGTTGTTAATGGATTATGCATGTACAGAACAAGATAATGTTGAACCAAGCTTAAACTTTTAGAGAGGGACACATTTTTTATATAATTTCAGTCTTCAACACATAAATCATTGTTCTCGATTTGTCAAAATATATTCAGCTTGTACTGCTTTTATTATCTTATAACTCTTATTATTCTAGATGCCGCACTCAGTTATGGATTTTTTCCTTTATACCAACCATCGTAAAAACTGTTGTTTCTCTGAAACTTAAATTTTCATATGCAGGGGGTGGATATTTATCTGGGAGTGAGCACCTATTCATCAATTGTTGTTGACAAGAGTTTTGGTGGGGACCTTTTACTAATTGATTTCAATATCAGGTAAAGGGGCACAGTTAATCTTATCTTCCTTAATAGAACTCACTTATTTGATATTTCTCATTATTAATCATGAAAAACTTGCCCCAGAAAATGCCATCTTGGTTTTCTTTGACTAAATAATCACATCAATCTGCTTTGGATCCTGTCTTTAACTATATATTTAATGACCCAACCCCTCCTCCTCTTTTTATAATTGATTTCTTCACTTTCCATTCTTCTGCTTTTTTCGTGTAACATCTAATGACAATTCTTGAAATCTTCTTTCAGTTTTCCAGCATTGCCTTGTGAATTTGCATCCGTCGGTGTTAGTGATTTCTTTGGCACTGTAAGTTTCTTTTATTCTTTTATCCGATGATACAGAATATAAAGCGTACTTCTTCTAAATTACATAACGCATACGTTAACCAGATAAAGATTTTCCTGTCTAGTTAAATCCTCCTTTTATATATTTGCAATAGGTTTTTTGATGTCAGCATAAGCTGTCTAATTATTAGTTCTGTTGAACTTGTTGGTATTGTGCACATGTTTGTACTCCATGCTTCTATGAATCAATAGTTGCTTTAGGACTTGGGCGATACACTGCAAAGTTCGTCATATGTTATGTTTACATATGATTGTGGAGTTGAGACGTTGAGTTGATTATTTGGTATCTATTTTTTCAGGATCTTTCGTTAAATTGTTTGAGATAAATTTACCATGTTTGTCGTGTCACCAGATGTTTACCTCAGTCATTGCCTGTTATTAAGAATTAGGAGGGGATTGTATGTTTTTTAAAGTGTGTGATAAAGTTATGCTCATGAGGACCATAATAAATCACCTCAAACATTTGTTTCTTGGACAAATTCTCTTTCTTGTATATCTGATGAGGAAAACAAGAAATTTGTCTATAACTAATTTGTTTCTGTAATGTTATTTGTCATATTTTATTCTTAGGTTATATATTCATTTTGTATGTGACTGAGTGTCGCCTTCTTTTCGCAGAATATGTTGGACATAAGTAAAATGGTTCACAAGTACCCAATATATTCAAACTTAAAGCCTACTGGCTCTGAGTTTCAGTTAGGAACAATTGCTGAAGAAATTAATTACGATGAGCAAGTTTCTCCTTCACTCAACGCACATAACTTTGACAAAATTTCACATCAGTACGTTGATCTTACATGACTTCAAAACCTCTATTTCCATTGCTTTGCTCATATAGCAGGTTGATAATCTGTTCAAAATATATATTTGGCAGGCATCCTATTTTGGTAGTAAAATTCTATGCGCCTTGGTGCTATTGGAGCAAGCGCCTGGTATTCTGAATCCTTACTAACGAGAACAGGCTTTGAATTGATTTCTCAATTTCCATCCATATTTAATTTTTTTCTTTGGGTATGAATGAGAATATTGAGGAGCTGTAGATTATCTAACACTTCTATCCCATGTTTGTTCAGAAACCTTCATGGGCAGAAGCAGCCAAAACTATAAGAGAAAGGTCAAATCAAATCTTTCATTTTTTATGCTTTCTTGAGTGGAAGTTGGACAATATCATTATGATATCATTCCATTCCAAAGCTAATGTACAACTTTGTATTCAGATATGACCCAGAAATTGATGGACGAATTTTTATGGGAATGGTTGATTGCAATGTGGAAACGGAATTATGCAGAAGGTACTTCTAGACAAAGCCTTTGCCTGCTGTACAAGTGTACTGTTTCCGATTGTTGTTCACTATATTCTAATTTTGGTACAAAGTGAAGTAATCTTTCCAAATATTTCGTGGGGGAAGATTATATTTCTTAGTACCATTGGTCATGAATTTGGATTGTGTGCAGTATAAGTTCAGGAATTTACTTGTGTTGGCCATCTTTTGATCACATAACTTATCTTTTCTTCCTTCACTGATTCTTAATATTGAATGTTCAGGCATCACATAGACGGGTATCCATTTATTCGTATCTTCCGCAATGGAAGTGATATCAGGTAATTGAGTTTTTTTTGTTGTTCCTTAGTAAAATCTTTCTGTAATGCTTTCAGATTTGATGCGTACTTTGAGGAATGTCTGTCATCATATACTTTGCTCTATTATAGATATATACATATAAAATCGAGCATTTGCCTGACTTAAAAGGGGCATGAGGTGAAATCAAACTGAAAACTCGCTTTATCCGAGTACCCAAACCTCCTGGGCCCAGGAAAAAAAGAGAAGAAAAGAAAAAGATAAATTCTTGATTTATCCGAGTACCCATTAGCTGCTGGATCTGCCTTTTACATTCATGCAAAGATTTGTAGCATTTGACTGCAGTCTTCTTATATCTCATAATTGTAGTTATATCTCTTTTTCCGTTGATAATTAACATTGTATGTTGACTCCATTATATCCTAAGATTTGCTGGAAACCTGTTTGCACACTATTGGAGGGGGTGAGTATGTTCTTAAGGAGTGTGATAATTTGCGTGCCTTGGAGATGAATTTCTTTCATATGAGTTCTTGTAAGGTTTCCAACAACAATGCCTTTTACGATTCACTATCTATATTTGTTTCTACTATGGTTTAATACCAATTTAAATGGTCCCCTTTTACAAATTCATTTTGCATGTTTTACCTGTAGTCAGCTTATATCTAATAATTGTAATTCAAATGCTATTTTTGACAGAGATGAATGTGATGATGATAGTTGGCACCAATGTCATGAATCATACTATGGGAAACGAGATACAAATAGCCTAGTTAAGGTCAGCATGGGTAAACTTTTGAGAAATTAATTACAAAATTATGAAATAAGGAAATAGATAGGGAGTAGGAAGTGAACATCTGTTGAATATAATTGGACCTTAATTTTTAGCCTTTTATAACTTATAAGACTGAAAGGAGTTTTATCGTTGCAGGCAATGGAGGATTTGGTTGCACCTATTTCTTTGCAGTTGCAAAAGGTTGCATCAGATAGCTTGCCTGCCAAAAACAAAGATGATGCAAAAAAGCCTGCACCTTTAACTGGAGGATGTAGAATTGAGGGTAACGTAAATGTGAATAAGGTAACATTTACATTATCTTGAGATGTGTTCCTTCGAAGTGCAGTGTACATGCACGATCCCATCTTTTCTTAAAAAAAAAAAAAAGAATTCTATACACATCCATATAATTATGTTTATGCTTTTTGTATGATCTTTAGAATGCCATGTACTTTGCAGGTCCCTGGAAATCTTATCATATCGGCTAGTTCAGCTGCTCATTCTTTTGATGCTTCGCAATTGAACATGTCACACATTATTTCCCATTTTTCTTTTGATAAAAGGAAATCTCGGAGGCTAATGAGAGACAAGAAGCGAATGTTGCACTATTTTGGTGGAAGCCATGACTGGTCAAGGTTGGATGGCAAGTCATATATCAGTAATCCAAGTGATTCATATGCAAATATCACTGTAAGTTTCACGTCTCCTTACCCTTTTGTGGCTTATTCATACGTTGAAAACAGTGTTATAACTCAACAATAATTAACGGGAATGATCTATAGCTAATAACATCAACTTCTCCTCAGATCATTAATCTATTTTCCAATGTAGCATCTGTAAAGATTTGAAAACCACACATCTCATGATGTTCAAATGTAATTGTTAACTTTATTTGTCAGCTACTACTACTGCACAAATTTTAAGAGACAATTATATGAAGAGAGAGAGATGTATATGATGCGACCAAAGTTTTGTCTGTAATCTCATTAGGCATTACGGTTTTCTTATGCAGTAGAATAGGAGTGGCCATGCTAGAATATGTATTTATACAACAATCAAAGATGTCCTAAGCTTGCTGGCTAAATTATGATTATGTCAGTCAACATAAATTAAACCATCATCACATTCTTTATTCTTTCTGTCTACACTTGTAATTTTGATTGCACAGCATTAAGATATTCAAGTAAAATTAATGGACTCGTACCCTCTATAAATTGGGAATGGAAAGGAGAAATGCTTAGTTTCTTAATAATATCTAAGATAGAAGTGGATAATCTCAATATCATCTTAAGTTATTCCATTTGATGAATGTTCATTCTTCTGAAATAATTAACCACTTCTAAGATTTGCTTGATTATGATCTTGTAATAAATCTGCGTATAAATTTCATATTTGCAGATTGAGCATTATCTCCAAGTTGTGAAAACCGAGGTTATGACAAGATCCCATAAATTATTCGAGGAATATGACTACACAACTCACAGTAGTTTTGTTCGCAATCTTGATTTCCCAGTTGCAAAATTTCATTTTGAGCCATCGAAAATGAAGGTATTCATTTAAGTGCATATTTGTATACAGTGTTGGTCTGTTGGATACGACTGCACCCTGTTTTTCTTCTTTAATAATGTCTATTATTACACGATCTTCCTAATCAAGTTGCCAAATATGCCATACATATGTGCTTGCATTACACTGTTTTTTCCGATTTGTTTCAAATCTTTTCTTTCATAATCAGATCTTCATCAACCAATCGAAGTCCTATTCGCGCTTTATTACAAATGTGTGTGCTATACTTGGAAGTGTTGCTACGGTTTGCTCTCTTTCCCTTCTACTTCTCTTCTATTTCATTTCTGCCTTTATTAAGAAATTTTCTGTTATTCCAATTTCATATTAGCCAACACAGAGGACATTTTTCCTTCTTTCAGGTTGTTGGGATATTACATGTAATTATGTACAACACGATGAGAGCGAAAGCTTTTGACACAGAGTCAAAATTAGTTGGTGTGTAAACAAAATCAAGTTCTGCATAAAACCTGTATTTGAGATGCTGTAATAAATTAACTTGACCAGAGTGTATTTTGCTATTTAAAGTTCTAAAATGGAAGTATGAGAAAGACTACTATATATTTTGGTTGTTCTTGCTTTCAGTTATTTCACTTGTCTTTCGAAAATAAAAATAAATATGAAGTCTGTTGATGGTTTGAGTAAATCATTCTTGTTAATTTGATGCCATTAAAAACTAAGTTTTATACAGTGTATCAGCCTATGGAAATAATTAGCCATTATTGTGCATACTCGAAGGTGGACACTATTGAATAGGCGGCAACGAGACTTGACCTCGGGTCTTTTGTTTGCTTCGTATCGTCGAATCACTTCATCTAAAAGTTTAAGTTAGAGGTGAGATAAATTTATTTGTTTCAAAGATGTTTAGTCCATGAACCACGAAAATTATCAAGCGGGCATTTGAATATTTTTCTCAAGTTTTTTACAAGAGCTTTATTTCTTGTTATATGACATACAAGTGCAATAACCATGTATAAATTATAATCCAAGAAAAATATACAATTTATTTTCTTTTATACACTGTAGATTATACACAAATATGGCACTGACCAATACAAGCTTTCTATAAGACTCATTTCTCAACTGTATATAACCAATATAAACAAGATGAAAGAATCATTAATATAAGAAAAAGAAAATACCATTTTCAATTCAACTGCACATCAAGAAACTAGAAGAAGGATTAACGAACCAAGAAAAGTTCCAATGGAGCCAATCACACTCATGTCAATTGAAGCAGCACCATTATTCGTCGGAGACTCCTGACCGGGAGCCGGAGCCGGGTTTATCTCCACCCCGACAGGCGGAGAATCTTCAAAGGTAGGTGATGGAGATGGCGAAGGTGGTACTGTTTTATTGGAACGGTCGCTTCTATCTGCCATTACAACCACTATCAGTTTTTCATTCTTGAGACAGTTTTCTGCCACTCCACTTATGAAGTAATATGGTCCTGGTTGATCTAACTTGAACACTGTGTGACCATCAGAAAATTTTGCAATGGGGGATGCTGTATTGCAATTTGTGTAGTCATCCTTAGTTACTTGTAATGCAGAGTCTTTATCAGCAGGATAAACAAATACTGCAATTTCCAAAAAGATTATGAAAGTTAGATGATAGAAATATGAAGGATTAAGCCCTGGAGTCGATTATGAGAGTAATACAAGTTAAAAAACGAAAACAGGAACAAACACTAGCAAACACACAGAGTTGTAGTGATTCATCCTCGACGTGTGTTAGAAGATTACAATAGTAGTCTCACACCTCTATGTATGTGTGCTACAGAATATAATCCCCTAAAAAAATAGTTTCTCGTCCATGGTAATGGAGAGAAGTGTATATTATAATTGGACTCCACAAAGTCGAAGGGAAAAAATCCAAATGCTGCCGGTCGGCAGCTTGTTAGCCAAAGGAAAAATCGAGATAAAATCAATATCACTTACATAGGGTGTCACCAATCTGAAACCGGTTCATCTCTGCCCACTGATTGTAACTGGCTGCATTTGGATCATTAGGGACTGTCCAACTGCCCCTTGGACCTCCGACCCTGAATTCAAATGCTTTACCTCTTTGAATCAGTAACAAAACACTAAGAACTCCTAATACATGAAGGGCATTTCCGTTTGATCTTAGAACAGTTGGAGCCATTGATGAAAGTCGACCAGTGGACTAAAATATTAGTCGTCGTGTCAAAATCTGAAAGATTGGATTCAAATGAAGCTACTGGGATGAAGAAAATTGTGTATGGACAGAAGTATTTGTAGGTGAAGTTTGTACGGCCTCTAGGAACTGTGGTATTGAAGCTTTTGCTTCTTTTTGTTATTCTTCTCCTCCTTTCGGGGTTTCTTTACTTACAGTGCAAAGCACAAGGGAATGTTTCGATGAGAGCCCTTGAGCTTTTTCTGGCCTTTTCAGTAAACCTTTTCCCTCAGTTTATACTTTACTTTTGATCATGTCAAGAATTTTCATGTCTTGCAATAGGGTAATGGCATCTAAAAGAATATCAAGAGAAGCAAGTTTTTATACAATTAGAAGCACTAGTTTATCCAATTCTTCAGCAACACTTGAAAATTTGTAAGGAAGGAGCGGTAAAAAAATAGAAGAATACATGTAGTCAGTTTCAAATTTATTGGGAATAAGTCTCCGTTTCTTGTTATTTCTTTTCGACGGAAATAAAAGATGGGTTTATATTGATGCTGACTGAAAGTTCTTAACTGAACTTTTTGGGATCCATACTTCTCCAGCCTTTTCATGTCAGATTACACATGATTCCAGTCTCTTGAGAAGAATCAAGGAGACATATCATGATATAGATTGACAAAAATATGAAAGGTTGAAAAATTCGAAATAACATGCTAGATTAGACATGAAAGTATTAACAAATGTTGATACATGATTTGATGATTATAATTTTTAAGTACTAGTAAGGCTTATTTGGTTTTTACTTCTTAAGAAATTAAGTAAAAACTTCTTGTCCAGAGACGTTAAGTAATATAAATATAAAATATAACTACGAAAATCTTGTTAGACAAGATAAAGTCCAACCAAACATTATTAGTTTTACCTCTCGCATAGGATTAAGATATAGAAATTCGACTTATAGCATGAACTGAAGATCACAAACGATTAAACTTAATTGCCTACATTGGATGCATTCATAACATGTGGTAGTCACATGTAACACTAAACAAACAAGACTTAAGAAGAAAAGTAGGCTCACAGCTTATTACAGCAAACGTTTAGAAAAAGGTTTTCTACCGCTCCCCATAATTCAGAAGTGTTGCTGTGTCAGTCAAGAAGCTCGCCAACAATAAATCCTGCCGTAATCCTGATTAAAGCTCAAATTCGCTCCAGCAGAGATCCACAGTGAATCTCAGCAAGAGAAAGGAGGGATAATAGCACGAGGGTGAAAAGATCCATCATACAAACCACAGAACCATCATATTTACTTGCAATGGAATGTATAAAAAGAGATTCTAGTACACCCAGTGATGATGTTTGAAGATGGATAATCCATATAGTTCATAAGAGTATAATATCCAAACGAACAGGCTCGTGTACTTTGATTTTGCAACAATCATATTATCTGCATATTCCTAGAAATATACATACACTTGGTAAATCAACCAACACCATCTTCATAGCAACCCACGTATCATAATGAACGATGGACTGCACTCAACTAAATGGAGAAAACACGCGCAGGGAAGGGACAAAGAAATGAAGACAATAACTGAAGTTCACATCCTGAATGTCATTATTTCGCATATCCATTAACATGGACAAACATCCTATTAAGATAACACGACAATACTAGAACAGAGATGTACTAGAAATGAAGTGTATATATAATCATACAAGCACTAGAATACTGCAACACAAATTCAAAATAAGTTTGCATAACACCTTCAGCACTAACAAGCAATTTGATGGCTACTGAGCAGAAACAGACGACACAGCTCAAAAACCATGGATTTTGATATGCTCCTTTTTCACGATCCCAGCCTGAACAAGAAACGCTGAGACGTTCTTCCGCTGATCACCTTGAAGTTGAATAACCTGGCCTAATTCTGGGTCCTGAACAACAGTACCATTGCAGCAAAACTCTTTCTTAAGGTCCTTGAGTATTTTATTATAGCTGAATTCCTTCTTCAAACCCTGCACAGTAGTCAGGCTCTTCCTACCATTCCGCTGCTGTACGCGAATGTGGACATAGTCTTTTGACCCAGCATCAGAATTCTCAGCATTTGCATCAGCAAAAGGATCTTCGTCGACAAAAAAAAAACCCAAATTAGCCATTTGCAAGCAAGAAGGAATTAATTCCATTCTACAGTCTACACTCCTGACATCTAAAAAGGCCATTGGCCCAATAGGGAGTGCTACATGTACTTGTATACTATCACAACTTCTATCTTGTATTCTCATTGTGCAAACTTAACATGCAAATGAACATTTGAGCCACATTTTTTGCCCAAATTGTATTTTGGAATAGTATTTTGTTGGAGAATGTGTGGATAAAAAATAAGTAAAAATTTTGTGTTTCGTGTAATATTATTTTATTAAAGAATGTGTGGTTGAAAATAAGAGAGAAAAATGTATTTTGGAAATAATGGGGACAAAACAAAGGCTTATACATCAGGTAGGATTCAAAATGAGAAGACCAGATAATTATTCTAGGAAACAAAGGGAATAAAAGAACAGCAACCCAAAAGCATTAGGAGTCTGGATATGCATACCAAATGCAGTTGGAGTTTGGACGTCGAAATCAGACATGAAAGTTGGCTGTTGTAGCAAACGCTGTGTAACCCTTAAACTAGCTGTATATGCTCAGACCTGGATAAAGAAACAAAAATTAATAATTATCAATGATCAGAACACATGAGATTATATAGACATAGACAAAAGCAAATTTGCCAAGCTACATTTAAAGGCCTTGATGAAAGGAGAAAGAAAAATCTGAAAAACAATGAAAAATGAAATCGTAAAATGGTCGGCGCGAAAAACTCACAACGTCTCCAATTCTAACTTGGGTAGAAATGCATAATTGCAACAATCTTCTCTCATTTCTTAATTTAAGTGCATGTTCCACAAAATGTTCCTAGAACTATAGCAATAAATTCAGGACAAGATATAGTGAAGCATGCTTCAAAACTGAAGGTGAAGAACACCTGCTAAATTGTCATTAGATAGAGGACAAGTCCAGATGGTCCCAACATTCTTCAAAACATAAAAATATGCAAAAAGGGAACAAATGATCAACGTTTGCCTGTATATCAGGTTTTCCAAAGTTTCCTAATTACACTCCCTTAATGGGCACAAAGTTAAAGGTAGACAATCCCAGCAAGTTCCTGACTTCCTACACCAACAATCACTAAACAACTACAGTAAATCTCACTCTCAGATCTGATTTGAAAAGAAAAAATTAAGGTAGGTCACAGATAACTCGTCTATAAGATTGGCATTTACAAGAAACGCAGATCATAATGGAGGTGCAACTGCAATTCTCTAATGCAACCAATGAACATCACAAATTTTACTGGTACGCACAAACTATACCCACCCCACCACTCAACAACCAAACTAAATGCTTTATCCACTCTCAATCACTAACTTTTGACATTATAATTAATAGTGCACAAAATTAACTAAGTAAGACAATATACGATAGTTAGAGTTGAAAGATGCAGTGGTTCTTCATTTAATAATAAGAAGGAAAATATATCATTATTCCAAGTCATGATTTAAAAAATACAGAAATTATAACACCAGTAGAATTCAGCATGAAATTCCATAAATATATAACAAACCGGCCTCCTATATTGCTCAGTATTAACAATTCTGAAAGCTTAAGGATAAGCTAAGTTTTAAGGGAAAATGATCCCCCAAGATTATACCATAGAGACAAAAGAGTTTACCAAGGGACCAAGACTTCCAGTAAAAAACAAAAAGGAACCCAGGAAAGCACAAACAAAAGAAAATTCAGTTCTTTATAGTATGAATAACAATTCAATCAACAAAAACAATCAAATTTATAGAAGTAATCCCAAGGAATTTATCAAAAATTAAGACCTTCATCATCTAAAAGATCAAAAATTTGAGGAACCTAAAAACACACCCCGATCTATTCGAACAAATAAAAACAGAAAATCCAATTCTTCATAGCATGCAGAAATCATAAACAAATAAGCAAATTAACAACATTAATCGCAAACAAACAATCAAGATGAATAAAAGAAAGTCAGAAAGGATAAACCAACACCATCAGATAAAACCATCGTGCAACTCTAATCGAAGCGGATCTGAAAGGGTCGTCCAATTAAAAAGAGAAACTGGGTTCTAGCACTTACTTGATCCGAAGACTAGGGTTTGGCGAGAAATTGAGGTCTGCAATTAAAGAACCGAACCCCGAAGTCGGAGAAGCCCGAGCAGTGAATTACAGAAGTCAGTGCTAGGGTATAAAAAAAGGACCCCCAGCGTTCAAATCGAGGTTATAAAGAATTGAGATTAAGGTTTATGGATTGTCGATAATTGGGGAGGGCACGTGGCGATGATCCAGAGCGGGTGCACGTCTGATTTAGTAATTACGGGAGTAGACAATAGATACTTTGCGTACGTTTTACGAGAAAGTGACCACTGCCCAGCACGTGGTTAAATGGTTACGAAGAGTGTGGATATGGATGGGATCAAAATATTTTGCTTTTTAAACCTTTTTTTTTTTGCCTTTTTTGCAATAATAAGCCGATATTTGAGCCACATTATCATTTTTATTTGCATTCTTCGACTCATTTTCAACCACACATTCTCAATAAAATAATATTTTTCATCATATCAATAACTTTTCCTTCTATTTCAACCATATATTTACCATCACATCACAAAAAAAAATGCATTCTTTTCATTTTAATAAACATCAAACACACTCTAAATGATCAATTGGGTCGGTTTTTCATGAATCGTGGTGCTTACGACAGACCAACCTATGTATAGGTTGAATTTACACAATTTTTATTCTTTTTTTGAGAGGAAGATAAAAGTATATGTTTCATGGAGATTTAAAATTAAATCAAAGTCAACAATTAATTCAATTATATATTTTATACGATTCACAATTTTCAACTACACATTCTATCGACTTCTATCAAAATTTACTAAAAATCTGATTTTTATCACCATCAAATAGGGACAGAGTATTTTCTTTGATATCAATTTTTTTCATTTTAAAGTTGTAGAAGGAAGATAAGATACTACCACTTTATGAATCACGGTGCATAATTCACTCGACATACAAATGGATATAGGTTAAGTCCGTACGAGTTTGATTAGTTTCTCCTCCTTAAAATGTAAAGAGGAAGATAAAAAAAAAAATTCCCCGAAATCTATTTTCCTTCTTAAGACGGAAAATAAGATACTTTTATGCATGCATTTGCATTGAATGCTGAGCTTCTACATCCAAGTCCACGTTTGGTCCGCGTTCTTTTAAAATGTATTCTTTTGAAACTCACTTTCAAATTTCAATCATACATTTTTCAATAAAATAATATTTTTAATCACAACAATAATTTTTCTTACTTTTTAATCACATATTTTCTATCATATCACAATTTAAAATACATTATTTCTTCAATAATACTCATAAAAAAAAGGCTGTCTTCGTCTCATGAGAAAATGTCTTATTATGACTGGCTTGGCTATGAAAGGGTCGATATTGTATAATTCAAACCATACAAATAAAATACTTTTTCACACATTGAAAATAGTCATCTTGGAATAATGTCACTATGTCGATTTTGACAAGTAAATCACAACCTTATAATATGATTTAAGCAATATTCTTATTTCATTATTACATACGGTGTATATTTCATTAGGAAGAGATATTTTTATAATCCAGCAAGAAAACTGATACATTTACATGGCTGTTCCAGTTCTGTCTATGAATGCATGGCGATTCAACATTGAATTTTGCACCATCAATCAAAGAAACCAGAGGGAAATTTAGCTGTGGGTCGGCAATATTACTTTCAAGTCTCTGACTTGCTAAATTTGTGCTTGTAATTGAACCCTCTCCATAGGTATATAAAGATTTACCACCACAAGAATCAGCTTGGCAGCCCTATCAGATAGGAGCATTTACGATGAAACACTACTACGAAAGTAAAACAAAATGAAAACAAATTCAAGACATAATAAGAAAGAAGACTGAACTTTATTTATGAATGGGAAATCCCATCAATGTTGAAACCTTAAAAGACAGACACAAGCACCACTTTAACAAGGAAAAGTGGCATACTTCAGAAAACCACAACTTCACGAGACGATGATTAAAAAAACAAAGGAAACGCGACTTCATTAGAAAGACGCCATCATAGATAAACGACCCACAGAACAGTAACAGAGCAATCAGAGGCCACCACGGAGACGGAGGACAAGGTGAAGGGTAGACTCCTTCTGGATGTTGTAGTCAGCAAGAGTCCTTCCATCCTCCAGTTGCTTTCCGGCAAAGATCAACCTTTGCTGGTCCGGAGGAATACCCTCCTTGTCCTGAATCTTGGCTTTGACGTTGTCAATTGTATCGGAGCTTTCCACCTCCAAAGTGATGGTTTTTCCAGTAAGAGTCTTCACAAATATCTGCATACCTCCCCTCAACCTCAGGACCAAGTGCAGAGTTGACTCCTTCTGTATGTTATAGTCGGCCAATGTTCGGCCGTCCTCAAGCTGCTTACCAGCGAAGATCAGCCTCTGCTGGTCTGGTGGGATTCCCTCCTTGTCCTGAATTTTAGCTTTAACGTTATCAATAGTGTCGGAGCTCTCAACTTCAAGGGTAATTGTCTTCCCAGTGAGGGTTTTGACAAAAATCTGCATGCCACCACGAAGCCTCAGCACCAAGTGGAGTGTGGACTCCTTCTGAATGTTGTAATCAGCCAAAGTACGGCCATCCTCAAGCTGTTTACCAGCGAAGATAAGCCTCTGTTGGTCCGGCGGGATGCCTTCCTTGTCTTGTATCTTGGCTTTAACATTATCAATGGTGTCGGAGCTCTCCACCTCCAAAGTAATGGTTTTCCCAGTAAGGGTCTTGACGAAAATCTGCATACCACCCCTGAGCCTGAGCACCAAGTGGAGAGTGCTCTCCTTCTNGTAATCTGCAAGGGTGCGGCCATCCTCAAGCTGTTTACCAGCGAAGATGAGCCTCTGTTGATCTGGTGGGATGCCCTCCTTATCTTGGATCTTGGCCTTCACATTATCAATGGTGTCGGAGCTTTCCACCTCAAGGGTAATGGTTTTTCCAGTGAGTGTCTTGACGAAAATCTGCATTCCACCCCTCAGCCTGAGCACTAAGTGGAGAGTGCTCTCCTTCTGGATGTTGTAATCGGCAAGAGTACGGCCATCCTCAAGCTGTTTGCCAGCGAAGATGAGCCTCTGCTGGTCTGGTGGGATGCCCTCCTTATCTTGGATCTTGGCCTTCACATTATCAATGGTGTCTGAGCTTTCCACCTCCAGCGTGATAGTCTTTCCGGTGAGGGTCTTCACAAAGATCTGCATTCCTCCACGGAGACGGAGGACCAAGTGGAGGGTTGACTCCTTTTGAATGTTGTAGTCAGCCAGGGTACGCCCGTCCTCAAGTTGTTTACCAGCGAAGATGAGCCTCTGCTGGTCTGGAGGGATCCCTTCCTTATCTTGGATCTTAGCCTTTACATTATCGATGGTGTCGGAGCTTTCCACCTCAAGGGTGATGGTCTTGCCGGTTAGGGTTTTAACGAAGATTTGCATCTGCAAGATTGAGCAATAGAACCAATCAGATAACGAGTGACTAAATTCATCAGAAAGGTATGAAATAAATTCAATCAACCAAAAAAAAAAACTAGTTACACAACCCATCCAAATTCTAGTTATACATGCATCGATAAATATATCGGAGAAGAATCAACAAAATACAGAAGACCAAAGAATTTGACCAAGAAACTCACCCAAGGAAGAAAAATTTATTCCACGAATTAGATAACCGAATGAGATTAGTCAAAAGAGATTTATAATTCTAATCGAAACCTATGAACCCGTAAACTCCAAATACTACAATCACTCGAGGAGATCAATGAAAACCTAATATAAAATAGATTTGCAGGATCCGCTAAAAAATCGATAGATTAATAAATTACAGATCGGGAAAGAGAAGGAAAAAAATAAAATTGAAAAATTATTATACCAAAAGCAGATTTAGATGGATAACCTATGGATCTGCAGGATCCATTAAAAAAAAATCATTTTTACAACCACGGACGATAAAAGAACCCCAAATAACATGAAATTCAAAAACAAATGTAAATTTTGATCAATAACCTATAGATTTGCAGCATCAATAAAAAATCGATTCACTTCACAATAACAGATCCAAAAATAACCAAAATCTAAAATCAACAAATCCAAATATCAAAGAGACTTTGATCCACAACTTATAAAGGAAAATTAATTATAACAAACATTAAACAAATACCTTGAATTAGAGAAAGAGATTGGAATAAGAACTTCGATGAGAATCAATGAAAGAAGAGAACTTTATCTGATTACGAATGAGAGGGTAAGATGAGAAATGCATGCTTATAAAGGATGAGGTGACCATATCACGACAAAACTGCCTTCACCAATTAGCCATTTGCATAATGACACGCGTCCTTGATGAGCTGTACCGCAACGAATCTTCACGGCAAAGGATCCATCCTTGAGTGGTATTAGGAGCCGTGCAAAACACACCCACACACACTTCTCAGCGAGTGGAAAACACGTTCTTCAAAATTATAGACTTTCTGTTTGTTTCTCTTTTTTTCTTTTTCCTATTTATTTATTAAATACTCCTCAATCAAATATGCATAGTGCGTGAAGTTATATGTGACCGACTTCTGACGCAATGGATGACGTTATATTGGTGGCCTGCGGTTTGGGCTTGACCAAGAATTTATTATAAAA